GTGTAGGTATGTTTCAACACTTTTAAGGATTGTATAGGGACGCGGGTGGCGCTGTGGGTAAAAGCCTCAGCGCCTAGGGCTTGCCGATCGAAAGGTCGGCGGTTTGAATCCCCGCGGCGGGGTGCGCTCCCGTTGCTCGGTCCCAGCGCCTGCCAACCTAGCAGTTTGAAAGCACCCCCGGGTGCAAGTAGATAAATAGGGACCGCTTACTGGCGTGAAGGTAAACGGCGTTTCCGTGTGCTGCGCTGGCTCGCCAGATGCGGCTTTGTCACGCTGGCCACGTGACCCGGAAGTGTCTGCGGACAGCGCTGGCTCCCAGCCTCTTGAGTGAGATGGGCGCACAACCCTAGAGTCTGTCAAGACTGGCCCGTACGGGCAGGGGTACCTTTACACTTTACTAAGGATTGTATGAAATGTATGTTTGTATGTGTGTATATTTGTAATATATGTGTATTAAAAATCCTTTTTAATTAATAATAAAAAATTAATAAAAAAATAAAAATAAAACAGAATATACTGTCAATCCCAATGAGGACTCGAATGAGAATCATTTAAGGCAGAGGGAAACTTTTTTTATGAAGCGGATGACAAGAAACCTATTTTAGAAGGTGGTGGGGATAGTTATACAACAGGGACAGCAGGGATATTCTAAGAAATCAGTTTTGGACTTATTCTGGTGGTTTTTGTATAGCATATAATCCAGGCAGAGAAAGATGACGAGCATTGAAGAATTACTGGGTATTCGGATGCTAGATTCTGATGTTTTTGAAGATGAATTGCAACACTTCGTGCATTTTGTCAGCAACGAGACCTTTATGTCACCAAAGTCTCCCGTTGCACCGTACGAGCTCATTATTGGTAGTTTGAGTGTCCCTTTTCCAAATACAGAGACACTTCATTAAAAGCTTTTAACATTACCCATATCAAATACAACTGGTGAAAGATTGTTCAGCACTCTTAAATGCACGTGTAAGTTTTCACTCTCCTACTTTAACAAGTTCGGCAGTTTAAGTAATTAAAAGTTCTGCTTTGCCAGATGAAATTATGGGAAGTGCAATGGAAATGTAGAACAAAAAGGCATATAAATTGTATTACTATGAATATCCTATTAAAAACTACGAATGTTAATTCATTCTGTTCCTTTAAATAAAGTTCATTTTTGGGTTAAGAGAAGTGCTTTCTTTTTACCTCTCTATATACGGGTATATTATTAATTAGAAACAAAAAGTTCTGTTTTTTATGCTATTAACGAACTCATACTTATGGCTTTAGCTCTGTTGTGTTTTCAGACATAGTCACATGATCTAGGTGGGTGAATACAGCCTCCCCATAGGACTGTACACAAAGTCCTGTAGACCACAAATCTCCCACTGTTCTAGATCCTGCCATCTGCAAGGGTGAGCACGGGTACTTGATACCCATTTGAAAACCTGCCCCATGCTTATGTTATCCATGCCTTTTCCTCCCTGCACAGGCCCCAGGTGAATGAAGAAGCAAGTGTTGCCCTCCCACCCAACGTCAACGGGAAAATGTGGATTCACCCTGACCTTGCCAGCTCTGCTTAATGCAGTCTCAACCAGCAATAAACATTATTGTTTTTGGAATGAAACCAGTTTCTCGGGGGCAAAGAGTATGTGATAGATCTAGACAAGGGGTCAGCAACCTTTTTCAGCTGTGGGCCGGTCCACCATCCCTCAGACCATGTGGTGGGCGGGACTATATTGGGGGGGGGGAATGAACGAATTCCTATGCCCCACAAATAACCCAGAGGTGCATTTAAAATAAAAGGACATATTCTACTCATGTAAAAACACACTGATTCCTGGACCATCCGCGGGCCGGATTGAGAAGGCGATTGGGCCGCATCCGGCCCCCAGGCCTTAGGTTGCCTACCCCTGATCTAGACAGTGTGAGGACTTCATGGGGAGCGACCCAAGTACTCATCCTCCATTGATACTAGAATAAAGTATTGTGTGTGTTCATCCAAGGTCTCAGGACAGGTTACAACTGCAAAATATGCAAGTATAAAAACAAAACCATTACGATGATAGAACAAATAAAATTGTTCCAAACTAGAAAGAACAACCATAAATTCAGCAAGAAAGGTATGTCCCCCAAAGCAAACTATCTTACCTGTTGAAAAGTGTGGGTAAAGAGGTGAGTCTTAGATATATATTTTTGGGTTCTTACTGAGGGAAGGGCATCCTCTTAGGATAACTGAAAATGCATCTGCCCCCAACTTCACTTTCAAATTCAGAGACTGGGGAAAAGACAAACACGAAGCATAAAGCCAAGAACCAAAAGTAGTCTCTTCCCAAAGGAATGTAAACAGTGATTTTGTGAGGTCCAACAGAACACCACACCAGAAGAAAGAGAAAGTGAGAGACCCAGACTCCTCCTGGCCTGACTATTATAGTCAGCATAACCTTGACAGAAAGGATAACAGAACCAGTTTAAACCAGCTGTACTCAGCTTCCCAGAAGGAATAACCCAAACATCAGAAACCTTCTGCCTGCTTCTTCCACATGGAAAGAAACCTTCCAGAACACTCTTGAATTAAGTAGAACAGGAAAGATCTCTACACATCAGATCAATACTTTCTGTACTGACAATATTTGCATTCCCACCTGCTACCTCTCTCACACTTGTCCTGGGCCTAATGAACCTGCCAGAATCTGGCTCTGGTTTCTTGGAATCTGCTTCGTGTGATGATGGCTTCCTTCTGTTTTCAGTCAGGGCTGAGCCCTACAAAACAACCATCTAAGATGGATAACCCTTGGAGAAGGAGGACTGCCCAGGCCTGCAACTGTGACTAGTTACAATGTTGGGCAGAGCCCAGCACACTTGGATATGACTGTGGTGGATTTTGGTTTTCAATGTAATCGTTCATTTAGAGATACATTGAATTTGATGGCGCTGTGGTCACGGTTCCATATTGGTTCAGCTACAATTAAACCGGGTCCTGGGCACCATCCCTCTGCTCACTCCCATCTGTTCTAGGACACAGTCATTTGTGGTATATAACACTAAGAGAGTGTTCTGTGCACCCCATAAAGTTGGAGCCGAAAGACACCCTCCCAATGCTACTTTCTGGACTCCATCCCAGAGGTACGATTGGAACTACTGTAACACACTGCGCCCAATTCCCATTCCTTAGAGCTGGTCCAAGAGGACGCTATGGTCAATAATAAGCTCTGTGAATGATATTTGAAAACTGCTCCAGATAAGCAAGTTTCCTTACTGGATTCCTCCATCCAGGTGTTGCCAGTTTTGACAACATACATCACATGTTCTGGGGTGACTGATCCCAGTCCATCTTGCTCAACAAATGGTCAGTCTTGTCAAAACTGACAGTGTCAATTATCTGTTTGAGAGTGCACGGGAGAGCATGCATGCTCTTATGTGTAAAGCCATGCCCTCTTTGCATGTTTCCAAGCACAATTCAAAGTGTTGGTGCTGACCTTTAAAGCCCTAAACGGCCTCGGTCCAGTATATCTGAAGGAGCGTCTCCACCTCCATCGTTCTACCCGGACACTGAGGTCCAGCACTGAGGGCCTTCTGGCGGTTCCCTCACTGCAAGAAGCCAAGTTACAGGGAACCAGGCAGAGGGCCTTCTCAGTAGTGGCGCCCTCCCTGTGGAATGCCCTCCCACCAGATGTCAAAGAGAACAACAACTACCAGACTTTTAGAAGACATCTGAAGGCAGCCCTGTTGAGGGAAGCTTTTAATGTTTGATGTATTACAGTATTTTAATATTTTTTTGGAAGCCGCCCAGAGTGGCTGGGGAAGCCCAGCCAGATGGGTGAGGTCTAAATAATAAATTATTATTATTATTATTATTATTATTATTATTATTATTAAGAATCTGTGGATCCTGATCTTCGTTCTTCTGGGTGCCAGAAGACATGACCCAAAGCACACACAGCACCCAAAGAAGAAAAACTGTTTGAAATGGGGCTGTGCTGAAACCCATCCTCCAATTTGTCACAACTTTTCTTCCCCCTGCAAAGAGGCTTCAATGTTTCCGTCTCATTCTCAGAGCATTTTAGAATTTCTTCATTCAAAGGTTTGACTTAAAATAATAATGAACAGCTGTCAGGCACACATGAGGCTTGCAGGAGAACGCAGCTTAAGATGTTATAGTGTTTTCAGAAAGCACTTGCACCTATGTGGACTGCAGGGTGCTGAAAAAGACGATTTGCAGAACGAAAGAAAGGGCGCTCACAAAGTAAGCTAAGTGCAATTTTTAAAAACCCTACATCCCACCCATGAGAATCTCAGCATGGTAATTTCATATGCAATTTATTTTGGCATTAATTGCTGGAGAAAATAAAATGCAAGGCTTTTTGGCACAGCACTAATTTAAGATGAAAAGTTAGATCATCACTGCAATGTGAAAAGGTTGAACATGCCGCTATTTTTCTAAAATGGCACCTTTAAATAAATGAAGCCAATGCTTCAATAAAAAGTGGCCATTTCTCCCTTCCCCTTGTTTCATTTCTGTTAACAGCAAAATGCCTGTTTCCTGTGCCTTGTTTCATTATTCCCTTCCCTTTTGTTTCATCAAATGAAAATATTATTTATGTGAGAGTTGAACAACATGTTTTATTGTACTATTTTTCTCGTGGTTTTATTGGAAAAGATAGCATGATTTTATGTGTTAAACAGTGGTGGTGACTAATTCCCCTAAATTGAAAAATGAGAGGTTCAAAGTTTAAGTCTTTACACACAGTAAGTTTTGTTTGCTTGTATTGGGTGGGAATAGGTGGTTATGGACAAGAAGCAGCTTGTATAAAATTCAAGCTGTCCAGTGCATAATAAAAATGAACTTCTGCCAATTGCCCAAATGTTCTTCCAGAACAAGACCTTTGGCCCTTCTGATGTTACTGAATTGGATCAGCCCTAACAAGTGTGGGCAATGGCAAAGGATGATGGGAGTTGTAGTTCAGCAACAACTGGAGTGCCAAAGGGCCACCCATTATAAAGTCACAAAGAGTAAAGGACAGGTTCACACGCAGAACAACATAAACTCTCATGTTGGTGAGGACAAAGGTTTCCAAGATTTCACAAACTCCCCTTGCTAGCCATTCATGGTACGTATAACAATGGAAATTAAGAAAATGTGTATCCAGGCTTTAGATAAAAAAACAGAAAACCATGAAAACTTATGAAAAAATAAATCAAATGTATTAGATAGCATATATTTTGACTGTTTCCTAAATATATATCTATTTATCTATGGATTTTTTTTTAAGTAGCAAAACTCTAGTTCGCCTGGCTGAAAATTTTGAGATATTTATTGCCTTGTTTCAAAGTGATGGAGTACATAATGGCAGAATATATATGATAAGGAACCTCCTTCTGGATAGGAGTGTCCTCTCTGCTTTCAGAATCTATGTAAAATAATAGCAACGGTTAGCAAACCTAGAGATACTCAGGAAGCAGAAGACTTAAATTATACTGATACAGTTTAACGTGAGATTTTCCAAAACTGCAGATAAAATAATTTTGGGGGGTTGCATCTATAGAAAAGTCATGGGTATATAAGCAAAACACAAATAATTTGGCTGGCATATTTATAAGGTGATTTTAAAACCCCTCACCTAACAACCTTGAAGGAAGCCAGTTGTATTTAGTCCAGTATTTATTAATATGTATTTTAATAAATTCACTTTATAAAGGTTGGAACTGCAGTATCCAAGACAAGAATATAGAAAATTTATTAGACTCCGGTGAAGAGTGGGTAAACATCCGGCGAGCGGGGTCCGGTTGAGAGGCTGTCACGTGACGGTGTCTTTCAGGGTGAGCGCGCGCGCACAGACACGTGTCCAAAAAAAAAGAACCCCTGTGGGAATGCGCCCTCCTAGTCTGTTTGTTCTTGAATGGGCTTGTGAAATGTCCATCTTCTTTGCAGTGCAAGAATATTAGGCATCTTTGATGTTCTGAAAGGAAAAGGGCCCCCAGCAGGCTACTGGGGAACCTCTGGGTGCCCTGACCGTCCAAAATATTGCTTCTACCCCAGTCGCTGCCCCTCCTCGTTTTAGTGAGACACCTACCAAGGCATGGTGGGTTGTTTTGCATTTAAAAAAAAAAAAATGTTTTAATGTTTCTTTAAGCAGAATGTTCTCCCGTTGCACAGGAGGACCCTGAGCACTTTTTAGGCAAAAGCAGCCGGAGCTGCGGCGTCCCCGGCGGGCGCAGGGCGCTTCTGGTCCAGGCAGCCGCGCGCTCCGGGTCTGCGCCAGCCCATCTCTCCCGCTCTGTCTAGCTGAAGTCGGTTGTCTATTTGTTCCTTCACGGCTCCTCGTCCTTAGATTAGATTTCTCCTTTCTCATTACCAACCTTAATAGACCTTTCAGACCTAATTCCAGCCCCAGATATTATCTGACCCGTATAATTAATTAATTATAGCCCAAATATTATAGATTATTAAAAATAGCATAACTAATAGTGTAATATCTCAAGCTGTCGACTTTAATAGTCAACATTGTCTTGGTCTCTCTTATCAGGCTGGGACACCCGGTGAGAATATTGATTCCTGGTAATTTTAACCATCATCTGCCATCCTGATGGGTAATTGTCAGATTTTCACCCGAGTCAACGCTCATTTGAAATCGTTAAACCGTCGGCAGAGCTCCCGGTTGATCTTAATGTTTCCTTTTTCTCCCCCTTCAATATGTTGCAGCAACCGAGAGGAAAATAAATAGAGGAGGAGAAAAGAGATAGTTGTGGCAGGGAAAAGTCATCTGATTCTCCCCTCGCGCTCGCTCCCTGACAAAAAGGCGAGCGTTACGAATGGTCCCGGCGGCTAATTTTGGCCTCTTTTGTTTTATTTCGAGATCGGCCCGGTTTTATTTAAAGCAAGGAGAGGGGGAACCTCCCTCTCGCTCCCCAAGGGGAGGCGGCAGCCAGGCAGCGGCTCTCGCCGTCCCCTGCGCGGCTGCCGGCTGCCGGGCAAGCGCGCACGGGAGTCCGCTGCGCGGCGCCTCCCCTCGGGCTCAGCCGGTCACTTCGCCGGGCTGGCGGGGCTTCTGTTTGCGAGCTCCCTTTGAGTTTAGGATCTGGGCCTTGGAGAGGAAGAAACTCCAGCAACCAAGCGGGGCTGGCGCACCTCTAACCGCACAACTCCTGTTTTGGTTTCGTTTGGAAAGGCAAAACGCGCAGTTCCGCTACCGAGGCCCTTGGGGGGCTTTGGGTTTGTTCAGATTCGGGGGGGAGGCGTTATGCAGGGTCAGAGCAGACTCCGAGCTGAGCCCCCGAGGACTCCACCGGGCCGAGGCGAGACGCTGCTCCTTGGGGGAAGGCGCTGGCGCAGAGGCGTCTTCCAAGGATCCCTGCGCCCCAGCGGGGACAGATTTCGGAGAGGCAGCCTGGCCTCTCCGAGGGATCTACCCGGGTCGAGCTGAGTTACGAGGGGAGGGGATCCTACAGAAGTCAGAGGGCAGGAGACGAAATCATTCCGACGGCATCAGTGCATGGCAACAACATTTATATTAATAGTCTGTTTCAGCTCCGGGGACTGGAGAGATCAGGTGTGAGGTCCGATCAACAGACGAGGGGTGGCGTTAAGCAGGATTCTGGTTGACTCTGGTACAGGGGTGATCAACCACGTAAGAGGAGCTGAGCCGAGACGTCATGGGAGAAGCAGGCACTAGCAGGGTCCGCGAGGGTGGGCTGGCGGGGAAGAGTTTCATCTGCGCGCGCGCGAGGTTCCCAGGCCCCATCCCCGAGCGCAGCACCCCTGGATCCCGCAAGCCCAGCTGCCAGTGCGCGCCTCTTTCCCCGGGAAACCAGCGAGAAGGGGGGGGATACCCCCGTTTTAATAGGTCCTCGGAGGATTTCCCGGAGCATTATTTAAACTTCTAATTATGATTCATGCGTGTGATAATATTAATTTAATAATCAAGGAGATGTGCAGGAAGCATTAACCTCAATTAAGCTCATTACTAGCCTAACCTGAAAATCCCCTGAGCTTTTAAATCTTCCAGGATGAAGAGCTGACAATGTATTGATAGAGGGCAAGATCAGCTCCATAGCTTCCTTCCCTCCCACCTACCCCCATTCCATTTGTTGGGGAGAATTAATGTCTCTTTGACTGGGGCTTGATTAGCAATTTAAATAATTTTTAACCTTTATCGTGAAAACAATCTCTGCTCGCGTCATTTCAGGAAGTGGGAGAAACCCAAACAACATGGAGCTCATCTCGTTGTGTGCCAAATATATATATATATAAACCGCTTGGTTATGTCCGGAGCGAAGGCCTGTGCCCTAATTCACGGGGGCAAAAAAAGTGGGGACGAGGAGAATCAGCTGGTTTTGCCACTGCTGAGAGTTTTATAAGAACCTGCGAGCAATTAAAAAAATTCCAGTAGCCAGACCTCATTCTCTATCTTGAGCCACAAAGTGTCTGGGACTCAGCGAGGTGGGGACTCCTTCCCTCTCCAGAATGGAAAAGTACCCACGAAAAGTTTAGCTCCTTGCACGCGCAGAGGTTTGCCTGTGGTGTCCCGGGACGGTGCTGCTTTTCAAAGGGACTCGATGCTCCCCAAACGTACAAGAGCAAGAAGTCCTTTCCAACCCAGCCTATTTAGAGACTGCCTGGGGGGCCGGGCTAGCTTGCATATTTACGAAAGGGGGGAGTGTGGAACCACGAGGCAAGCAGAAACCAAACGGACGCAGCTTAATTTTTTTGCTGCCAATTCCCGACGCGTTCCCAACACTTCCTCGGGGGAAGTGAATCAGCAGCAAAGCCAATGGAAGAACAATAATATTCAGGTTTGCGATTAGGACCGGTTCTGGACAGCAGCAGTCTGCTGTTCTTTCATTCGCTTCGTTCCAGATTCGTTTTCCCTGAGGAAAGACTCTCAGGATTGAAACGTTGTTTAACCGTAAATGTTGGATCTGGCCCAAGCAATCATGGTTACATCACTGTGCCTGGAGATTTTCAAAGTGCCCAAAAAATGGTCCCTGCCCCCTAGGAGCTACCAGTCTATTATAACTCAGCACAATGACTCCTAAAAGGGACTGAAAGTCAGGGATAAAGAAAGCAAGGCTAGGCCCTTCTCTCAACTGCAGATACTTCGAGCTGTTCGACAGAGGAGCGGACTCCCCCTCGGGGGGCTGTGGACTCTCCTTCCTTGGAGGTTTATACGCAGAGATTGGATGGCCCTCTGCCATGGGTGCTTTAGCTGAGATTCCTGCGCTGAAGGGGGTTGGGCTAGATGACCCTCAGGGTCCCACCCAACTCTCCAATTCTAAGACTTAATTGCAGCACGGGAGTTGCACCAAAGAACTGACAAGCTCAGCTGCGCTTTGCAACCGGGCGCTCCTCCGGTTGAAGCTACCCCGAGTGAGTGGCGAGAATAAAAACGGGGCAGCCCCCGCGTGCCATAGGGTGCAAGCGATGCTCTTTAAGCAAAACCTGGTCGTCTTGCTGTTGGTGTAAAAGCTGCTTGTCTTTCTGTTGTGACTTCTGATTTCACCAGTGGAAATGTCTCTGCCTTTTGCAAAGTGTGTGTTGGGGGCGGCGGGAGGAGTTCAAGCAGAACTGAAAGCGTCTGGTGGTTCTTCTGGGGCAAAATGACCCGTCTGGCTGTGCTCTTCTCGCCAGTACACAGTCCTCATCATATTGGCCGTCTCTGCGCTCTCGGGAAATGATGGCGGCCTCGAGGAAGAAAGAGAATCGCTTCTTTACGCGGCGCTCCAAATAAGTGCAGCCAAGACAGGACAAAGGGCGAACGCGCGACGGGTGCTCTCGCCTTTTCCCGTCGGAAATGGCGTGGAAGGCACGGGTTTAAATTCATTCATTAATTAATTGGCCGGTTTGGGAAGAGACGCCTTCCCTCCCCGCCCGCGTCTCCCACGCTCTGAGCACCTTGGGGTGCAGGGCGCGCAGGACAGCCCCCCCCCCGGCCGGAGCCTGGGCGCGTGTCTCCTTCCCCCGCGATGACCTTTCCGTGCTCTCGGCACACGTTTCTGATCAATTCTCGCGGCTCGGAGGAGGGGGGATGAGCACACCCCCCCCTTCTGCCCAGTTTCCCCCCACCCCGTGTAAATCCATCAAAGTGACCTTCCCAATATAACAAGGGCTGCTAAACTGTTTTACCACCACGATAAATGTCCTTAATTACCCTGAGATCTGCCTGCGCCGCTGCAGGGCGATGATGAATGGAGGAAAAGAAAAGGTTCATTTGTTGACTGGACTTGGGAAGATCTAATTAAAAAGGAAGTTTGGCGCTGAAACTCCGGAGCGGGACGCGGAACCGGCTGCGGGGATGGGGAGGGGGTCGGCGGAAGGGGCATGAAAAGACTTTCGGTCTCCCGTCGCTTGGGCAGCCCTCGGGGCAGAGAACCAAGCGGGCGTCGAGCGCCCGGGGGCCGGCTCGACGCTCGGCTGGGTCTCGCTTGAAAAGCCCCGGGGCACCCGCGAGTCCCACGAGCTCGGCCAAGATCCCCCTCGGTTGCCGCAGTTTCTTTTCCCCAGCTCTCTCCTGCCCACCCACCTGCCTTACAACGCGGCGCCCCCCGAGGGCATCGCTCCTAAGGCAGCTCAAAGACAAGACAAGCTGCTGCCTCGCCCAAGAGGCCGTGGGGGGGGGGCAGTTGGGGTTGCCTTCCGGGGCCAGCAGGGCCCAGACGTGCCTGCGGGAAAGGGATGTCCGAGAGGAGCGCCCCCAAGCCAGGGACCCTCTGATCCGGTGCCACCTGCCACCGCCCATACCGCGCAAGCGGGAGGAGAGCAGGAGAGTCTTGTCCCTGCTTCGGGCCGCCTTCCCCTCCTGCCTCCGAGAAACGGAAAGGAAAAGGTTGTGGCCGCTTGGTTCCTGCCCCGCCTGTGGCCTGGGATGAGGCTGAGACCCGGCCCGAGCAAGAACGGAGATATTATTGCCTGCCACAGCTCGTCGAGGCCCCCAGAATCAGCGCCAACTTTCCCGAGAACAGATAACCGGAGATGGCAGATGGATGGAGATTGCGCAAATGAGCCTCTAATTGACAATCAATTGTGATTAGGGGCAATGGAAGGCCTTCCTTGCGCGCGCCCGGCTCCTTCCTCATGCCAGGCTTGGGGGGGGGGGGAGGTGGAGGCAGGAGGCCCAGGAGGCGGCTCCCCGCTTCCAGAAGGTCCCTCTGGGGCCTGTCAGCAAAGACAGAAATCCGGCGTTGGTTCTTCCCCTGGGGGGCTTTGCGTCGGATTAATGCGCAATTAATTGCTCGCCCAAAGTGGCCAAGATGTGTAAGAGGGGTGGATGGAGATCATGCGGGACGAGTTTTCCCCACCGTCCTAAATATTACTAAGTCCTAAAGGACCCTTCTTGAGCCGGGGGTGGGGGTGGGGGGCTCCAAGTAAAAAAGAAGAAAGGCCTCCCTCGGATACCCGGCGAGCGAGGTGTCCAGAAAGAGCCGCGCCGCGCCGGCTCTCCTGCCTGCAGGGACTCCCCTGGGCCCGGCCCACTGATGGGCTAATCATGTCCGAGCCCGACCAAAATTACAGCTGATTGCTTTACCCATTATTCCTTCCAAGTTTTAATTTCTGCTTTCCAAAGGATCATTGCTCGCGGTAATTGCAAAAGACCTGCCCTTGTATGTGTCACTAGACTCAAAGGCAAAAAAAGAAAAAAGGGAAAAGGGAAAAAAACCCACCCCCCTAATTTTTCGTTTATTCTGTCTCTAGTCCCGGCCTTTCTTTTGGCAGGTAATTCAAGCCGCCGTGATCTAGACATCCAAAACAAGAACAGAATTAACGCCCTCAAAGAAGCAAATTGCAGAAATTTCCAGATAGCAAAGGAAATTGCATTTTCCCCTACCCACCCCATGGGCTGAAAAGTCCTGTTCTTTTTATTGTATGTTCCAGTGCAAATTATTGGGTGGGGAGTTCGAATGCCGCCGCCCTCCCCACACTGCTCTGCAGGAGGTCTTGGCATCCCAGGTCTTTCTGGCTCGGGCTCTTTGCTCCTGGGCAATCCCCTCTCTCACTAATTCCAGAACAGGGTCAGGAGGGGAACCTGAATGTGGAATTGGAGGGGTTTCCTTGCGCTAAGAGGGCCGGCTAATCCGTTTGGCGTCCCTCCACCCTCCTGTGAAAAGGTCCCGAGCTTCCCACCTATCTGTAGTTCTTCTGAACGTCAGTGTGTCCTTGTTCGTGAGTAAGTGCTGCTACTTATGGGCGGATCTGGAGGGCGGCGATGGTAAAGACCCACCGTGGGACTGGGAGCGAGTGACTTTTGCGCGCAATTTGCGCCTCGGGGTGGAAAGCAGCCTCTCCAGTCGCTGAGCCCAAGCGCGGCGTTTCGGCGGATCCCGCAATTATTTCAAAGCGAGCGCCTCCTTCTCCTCCCACCTCGCCAAATAAGGCTATTTAGATGCTTTCCAGATGAGTGGAGGGCGCTGAAACCGAGCTGACAGCGAAGTATATCTCCGGCAGCGCCGCTATCCTTCACCCTCCCGGCCGCCCCCTCTCCACCCTCCTGCGCGCTCCTCTGGGACGAAGGTTGCTGGCCGTTCTGGGCAAGGGATTAATTTGCAGCCAATTACCACCGGGTGCTAAATATGAATGCATAACGAAGCCCCCCCCCCCCCTTCCTGGGGGAAAGGAGGGTGGGATAAATGTCTAGGCTGCCCCCCAGAGAGGAGGGGCGGGGGTCAGAAGCCGCAGCAGCGCAGGGACCTTTTGGAGCAGAGCGCACAGACGCGCACACACACTCTCCGCGCCTCGCTTTCTCTGCCAAGTTCCTCCTCCTCCTCCTCCGGAGGGGGTGTTTCCAGGCGAAGTTTGCAGAAGGAAGTCATCCGGAGGGGGAGGGCGGTGGAGGGGGGAGGGCTGCTCTGTGAGGAGTCATGAACGTGAGGCGAGACAAGGCTCAGGTGGGTGACGTCTCTATTCCGGCTGCAGCGGCGGCGGCGGTGGCGGCGGCGGCAGCGAGCCCTCCGGAGTGCCTCTTGGGGGAGCCCGGGTCGTGCAGCTGGCCGAGGGGGGACAGCATGGACGGGCCGGCGGAGCAGCGCCTGACGCCCAGCAGCGACCTGCCGCCGGTCTACTCGTGCCCCGTCAGCAGGGACAGGCAGGGCAGCGAGAACGCCAACAACACGGCCGGGCCCGAAGGGGCGGGCGGCGCCTTGCCCGTGGTGCATAGAACCACCTCCTTCTCGGTCCTGGACATCCTGGACCCCAACAAATTCAACAGCAAGAGCCGCAGGCACTGCGCCGTGCTCTACAAAGCCGCGGCCGGCGGAGAGTACACGCTGGTGAGCGAGGAGAAGCTGGACGAGGCGGGCGCGGATGCCAAGGCTCTGGCTGACGACTTCCAGGCAGCCAGGAGAAAGTCCGCGGCCGACCTGCGCAGTAAGTACCACGGGCCGCCCTCGCCGCCTTCCTGGCAACCCCGACCCCGCAGCAGCAGCAGCAGCAGCCAGGGGGTCCCGTCTAATCGCCTGCATTGGCTTGTCCGCCACTTCTGTCTCCGCGCAGGAGGCGTTCCTCTGTTGTTGCGGGCCAGCCAAGGGGAGCAGAGGCACTCAGGAGAGCGGGCAAGCCCCCGAGGCCCTCTGCAGAGAGGGGGAGGGAGGGCTTGGCGGAACTCTTCCCGGTCAGTCGCGCCCAAAGTTTTGTGCCAGGCAATGCCACCAAGTGGGGAACTCGCCCTCCAGGTTCCCATGCTAGGCAGAGGGAGAGGGAGCCTGGGAAAGGAGGAAGAAGCCTCCTTTCTCGGCCTGGAGAATCTCTCTTGCCGGAGAGGAAGGGGCCCGGGCCGGCGCTCCAGCGCTGGAAGATGCCTGCTTTGTGCGCTCCTCAGCTTTAAGGCCAGGGCAGGCTCGGCGAACTGCTTTCTTGGACTCAGGCTGAAGGGAACGGACAAGCCAGGCAGCATCCTGCAACTCCAGGTGGCCGGCTAGGTTCTCAAGAGATGGCACCACGCAGCCAAGTCCCCTTTTGAAGGAAAGGCAGCCCCGACAACCGCCTGGGCCACTGGAGAGCGGCTGGCGTTAGCGGGAAGCCTGCCAGAGCCCTCCAATTGCTTCAGAACCGCAACCGCCGCCTTTCCTGCCCGGGTTCTGGTTCCCCAGGTTAACCTTTTTCGGGGTAAAATGTGCCTTTAAGGTCCAGGGATGTTCTTTTTAAAAACACACACACACACACACACACACAAGCACAGAGCTGGCTTTTTGCTCCCGGCGACAGATTCAATTTTCTCTCTCTCCCTCCCTCTTTAGCTTTTTTTAAGGACAAATCAGACTAATTGTGACAAAATGCTGGTTATCTCTGGAAAAACAATTAAATTCCTTCGATTACATTTAAAGTAAAATGTGCTTAGCAGCGTAAAGAGGCTGCATAATGGGGGAAATCGCCCCAGAGTGGCGTGTAGGACTGAGCGGGTCGATATCCTATTATCGAATTGTGCATATCTCTTTCAAGCACCTTGCAAACTCTCGCCTAACATCTAAATTATAGGGTCAAAATTCGGATAATTACTCGATTAAAACCTATTACACTTATTAGGGCTGCCTATCGACCGGGAAGGGCGTTCGACCCGGGCGCCAGATTGCTTTTGCCTCCCCGGGTCCCTGCTAGGCTCCCGACGCCCCCTCCCTCGCCCTTGCTCCCCCCCGGTTCCTAGGCTGGGACACCCCTGCGTGGGACCGGGGGGCCCCGGGGTGCTGGAAGAAGCTCCGCTCCGAAGCCGGGCTGGTCTCTGCCGCCAGCAGAGCCGGCCACATCCCCGGGAAGCGCGAGCCGCCGGAGGCCTGCGCAAAGTCAGCAGGCGCGCAACTCCATGCCCCGCGGTTCGCATCCAGTCTCCAAGGCCTGCGTCTACTCTTGAGCCCCGCGCTCCGGGACACTCCGGCTTCCAGCCACTTGGCCAGGGAGCCCAGAGGGGTCCTAGGGTTGATCGGGGCCGCGGGTATCCCAAACACTCCTGGCCAGGAGGCGCGGAGGCCCAGCTCTCCTACTCCCAGTGCCAGGGCCCGTCTGGACCCCCCTCCTGGGGCCAGATCCTAAGGGCGTGGTGGGGCAGGAGAGGGACTTCGAGGAGTTTGGGGACCTCGATCGGAGAGACTGCTGCGCTCGCACTTTTCTTCTAGGCAAAACTTTGGGGCGCAGTCGGAAAGCCTCCTACCGAAGCTCCCCGAAAGGATACAGTTTTGTGGCAAGAAATGCCCACGCGCAAGAAATGCCGCACACATCCAGAGGCTTTGCAAAATCAAACCAGTTTGCCTAAACTTTCACTGAGCTTCAAATTTCCCGATCGCGCGCCGGAGTTTCTGCACCTTTCCCCGGGGAGGCGACAAGCGAAGCTTTGGAAAGCTCGATTGTCCGACAACTCCCCACTTCAGAAATGAGGTTGTGGTTTCTTTTGTCCGGCGAGGATCCAGCAACAGCCGGCGTTAAACAATTTATCTATAAATTCGTTTACACCGAGCCAAATTTGAGATCCGCTGTACAATTAGTTCTGGTTTAAAGGAGGTCGATATTGCACAGGAGGGAAATCTGTGTATTTTACGCCCAAGCCTTGTATCCTGGATTTCATGTTTCCTCCAATAATTTAAGTGCGCGAACTTCCCTGAGAAGTTTGGGGGGTCTTGGCGATTTAAGGCTTTTAAAACCAAACAAACAAACCATCCCCAGGCCGCGTTTTGCCACCCGGGAGCTGCTCGCTTCCGAAAAGTGAGATTTTCTTCTTCGCTCATTTGCCTCGTCGGCGAAAGCAAAACACTGGGGAGGTCTGGGGGCACCGGCAAGAGCCCGACTCTCGCCCGAGTCCCATTAATTGGCGATTAATATATAACCCCAAACAAATTAAGTGACCGCTAACTGCTTTGTACATTACACAGAATTGGTTTAATTAAGTTTGGATCTGCTCTAGCAATCGATACAAGTATTTGGTCCAATTAAATCCTTCTTTCAGGGGATAACCAAAAAAACAAAAACAAAAAAAACGAATAAGCAAATAACGGAGAGACAAAGCTTTGATGGGAACTGAGCGACGTACTGCTTGCTTCTCCGGCTCCATTCGGATGAAGGGCACTTTCTGACCTTTTTTTAAAAAACAAAGAACAACAGCAAGCTTTTTAAAAATCAAGCCATGAATTGCATGTGTTCTGCCTGCCTTCAACAAGTCCTTTTCAGTAGGGAATGAGGGGGCCATTATTTCCACGAAATCTGGGTGTTGCGGGACGGAGTGCCGGCCATTCGCCCAGCTCAGCTGGCTGGAGAGAAGCGTTTCTCCGGGCTTCCCCCGCGGTCCGCTCCCGGCTTCTCCGGCTTCGATTTGCGCAGGCTGCAAGGCAGCCAGCGAAGGGCGCCGATCCTTTGACCAATGAGATCGTGCTTATTATTTTTATAATCATTAAGCTTTTTAAAAAAATAAAAAAATATTATTATTTAGTTGGAGTTTCGTCCTCCAAGTTGAGCCCGCGCGTTCCTGGCAGGGCAGTACTTTTAGGAAGCCAAAACAACGTCTTCTTTCCGTCGACTGATAATCTGAAGTCTATAGTGCAAGATGCCAGCAGCCTAGAAAGTCACCCCAGGCGTCCCATCTCCAACCATGCCAGGGAACACGCTTTGGGAACTTAAGGGGGACCCGGAGTTTTGTGGTTTGGCGGTTCAAAGCAGGGGAGTGAAACCTCCCCCTGGGCCTGGTCTCCCCTTCTGGGGGTCCTCTGGGCGCTTCCCAGCGCGACTCGCAGGCCCCCGCTTCCGGACCCCCTGGATGGCTCTGGACGCGCGCGATCAGACCCCCAAAACAACAGAGGCGACCATCGCCTGGCGGCCTGCCGCGAAGGAGGAAGCTCCTGGTGTCGCCCCCCCCCCCCCGCCAGCCCCCTCCCTCTCCCCGCCAGCATTATCCTAAATTGCAGCGGCAGAGCATTCAACAAACAGGTCCCGGGGCTCAAAGGCGACGCCACCCACCTTCAGGCCGCGTCCAAAGGCCTCTGCCGCGCTCAAGTTTCGCCTTTCCAAACAGAGCTTCCGGCCAGCGGGCCTCCCCGGTTGCCCCTCCGATGGCTTGGACGAGCTGACCTCACACCCGGGCCCCGCTTCTGCTTCTTCATCTGCCACTCCCCGAACTTTCAAGGCCGCAAGTTGCGGACAAGGAGTGGGAGTAAGGCGTGTAGAGGGTGGGACTAATAATAATAATAATAATAATAATTTTGAAGTAGTTTTATCTTGCCCAAGGTAACCCAAAGTGACTTACAACCAACCAACTAACCATTCCTTGCTTTGCGTAAAGGGGGCATTCACAGTTATTTTTCTGAAGGGGGAGAAGGAAGTAAAAACTAAAAACAAATAGACAAAGCTAACTTGCACCAGAGAGCAGGTCTTCAGCGGTGACGCCTGGACAGACCTGGTCTCTGAGAACTGGTGCTCCAGGTCTGTTGCCCACCAGGTGGACTTGGCGTCCAGACCACTCTCTGTCCGTTCACCACTGACCACCTGAATTATTTCCCTGACTCCATTTACTTCCTTCCAGCCTTTATTAATTGCATTGCTCTGACAATCAACTTCACAGCCCGCTGCATTTATCTTTAAAACAAAACAAAACACAACAAAAGCACACGACCCAAATACCAGGTTAACAACACTGAGCTATACTTTAGGGCTGTCCTAAAGTACTTCAGCAAAATGGGTATAACGACACTAGGTTACTTTGCAGCGCTGGCGAGACCCCTCAATTTCGCAGGCACCCTCCTGTCCCCTGCAATATGGCAGAAACATGGAGGATTTTATGCGCATTGGTATTAACAGAATGAAGAAAATCACAATTTTTTTGGTATGAAAAAAGACCCAAGTTAGAAACATTATGAGCTCCCGTCTTGGCTGTTACCTTGGCTGACACGCTTTTATTATGAATAAATTTATCAGTAAACAATACTACCCTAATTAAAGCTAAACCAAAACTCCAGACCCCCGAATTGTTTTCCTGTGGGGCAGCAATCTTTTTTTTTCCCTGCCAGCGAAGACCAGCAGAAAAGGTTTTATAAAAGACCAAGCGTCTCACCTTCTGTTTGTTTCATTGGCTCGCTCTGCTTTTCTAGATCTCGGTCCCTGATACAACTTAATTCTTAAAGCACCGAGAGCAGGCCGGGCAGGGAGGCAAGTTTCTCACGAAACAAATGAGAATGGCTACTAGAAACTTTCTTTTTTAAATGAAAAGTGGGAATCTGGAGTATTAAGGTGGGGGAAGGAGAGACGGCCCCCTCCGCGGTGCGGACACCAATGCCCACCATCAGGATCACGAATAATGAAAAAGTGGCTAAGTAGACGCGCCTAGCTTTTGAACGACACATTTCTGACCCCTGCTAGGGCAGAACCGCAAATCCACGTATGTTTGCAGAACTGTAGTCTGAGGAACTTATGGGGGGAGGAATAGGATGAGCAAACTAGAACCGAGAGACTTCGGTTGTGCGGGTGGCGAAATGTGCCCAAGACGGAATGGCTGGCAAAGGAATGTCTCCTCCTTTCCCGTGTTCGACGGGCTGCGCCTGGCGCTGCTGTCCTGGGGGCGAGGACCCGGCCCGGCTCTGCGCCGGCCACCCCGGGCCCAGGAGGGGCTGTATGTGTGCTTTGCGCGTGGAGGGGTGGGGGCGAGGACGGCCGCAGGAGCCCGCCCGGCTCACTCTCTTTCGTTTGTGTGTGCAGAGCCCGGCGAGCTGTACCGGAGCGAGGAGGCCGAGCTGGATCCGAGCAAGCGGAGGAGCCCCTGCGCGGGCAGCGAAGCCCCCGACGAGGAGGAGGACGAGGAGGAAGAGGACGAGGAGGAAGAGGAGCTGTGCAGCGAGGAGAGCAGCAGCCACAGCGAGGGCGGCGCCCTCGAGGCGGGAGGCGGCGGCAGCCTGGCAGCGGACGACCTTGGGGCTCACCCGCCGCCCCCGCCGCCTCAGCAGCCCGGAGGCGCCTCCGGAGGGCAGCCGCCGCAGCCTCAGGCCCAGGCGCAGGGCCAGCAAGCAGCGTCGGTGGCGTCCGCGCCGTCGGGCAAAGCCAAGCGCAAGCGCCCGGGCTCGGATTCCAAGTCGGGCAAGCCCCGCAGGGCGCGGACAGCGTTCACGTACGAGCAGCTGGTGGCTCTGGAGAACAAGTTCAAGGCCACGCGGTACCTGTCGGTGTGCGAGCGTCTTAACTTGGCGCTGTCCCTCAGCCTCACCGAGACGCAGGTCAAGATCTGGTTCCAGAATCGGCGCACCAAGTGGAAGAAGCAGAACCCCGGCGCAGACACCAGCGCCCCGACGGGCGGCGGCGGTGGCGTGGGGGGCGGCGGTGGAGGCCTGCCCGGCGCGCTAAGCCCCCTCAGCCATTCGCCCCCCATGGGGGGCCACGGCCTGGCCATGCACGGCCCGCCGGGCGCCTACGGCAGCCACCCGGCCGGCGGGCTGGTGTGCGCAGCCCAGCTGCCCTTCCTTCCCAGCCCCGCCGTCCTCTCGCCCTTCGTGCTGGGCTCGCAAACCTACGGCGCGCCCGCCTTCTACACGCCGCACCTCTGAGGGACCGACGGGGCCCCCGCCGCTGCCACCAGCCCTTGCGGAGCAGGAGACTTGCGCGGGGCCGGGCCGAGGCAGCCTCGCTCCCCGGCCTACGGTCCCCGCGTCCACCCGACGGAGCGAAAAGGATAGGTGTCCTGGCGCCTGGTCCACGGACGATTCTCGCCTGCGGGCAGCCGTCACGTTGCTCTGAGCTGCGGGACAAACTGAGCAGAGGCCGAAGGAGGCCGCCTCGGTCTCTCCATGTAAATAATGCTCGCTGCCCCGTCTTTGCCCGGGTCCCCTTTCTCCTCCTCCACCGCCCCTTGTCCGAGATGCCTCTGCCCCGCAGACTCTCAGGGTGAATCGGGGCGCGGCGTCCCTTCTAGGCGCCGTCGAAGAAATGAGGCGCTCTCCGCCCTCGGGACGCCGCGCTTTTACGCACTTCAGCGTCGCTGTTTTTAAAAAAGGACGAGGAACTGGGAGGAGGGAGTTTAAACATTGAAAACCGAAGGGGCTGTCTTACCGGAAATGCGTTTAAAAAAAAACCGAGGGAGAAAGAGACAAGCTTTTTTTGTAACATCAGTCAACTATGTATATTTCTGGATGTTATACAAATTTTAACTTTATAATTTGTGTATAAAGTGCGCAGGAAACATTGATCCAAAAGGTATAGAAAGCACTTTGCTGGAAATCTAAATCAATAAAGAATTGATTTAGTCGACTTTGTTCTGCCTGAGCGACTGTTTTTAACCTTTTTTAAAAAAAAAAGAAAGAAAAAGAGAAAAAACACTGCGGTCATCGCCAGAGTTAGTTGGCGCTGACAGAAGAAGCAAATAATCTAGGTCACTTACGATCCAGCCAAAGTTAAGCAGTTCTTAGTCCCCCGCCCCTTGTGATTTCCGGAAGATTTCAAGGCGCGCGCTCCGCTTTCCCATTGCAACCGTGCAAGCCGCTTAACCGTCCCTGGATCCGGCTGCCTTTAATGTTTCTAGTTTTCAAATAAGCCCAAAGCCACCGAAAAGGCTGCCGCGTCTTCCCCAACACCTCCAGCGTTTCTGGTTTGGAGAGAAACATATTCCGCATGTAGACTTTTTCTGTGTGGACGTTATTTCCCATCGTTTATTCCCTGGCCCCTCTCCAATAATTCGTGTGTGCGTGTAAAGGTTCTTCTCTTGGTAGTTTCCAAAGACAGCGAATATAATGTGTTGGGATTAAATAAGTGTAATAAACCGGTCGTGGTTGTATTTTGGCTGTTTTTTTAAATGTACCAATACTGCCATTATTTGTGTACATAAAATATGTAATCAGTTTCTTAGCCAATATTTGGTTTCCCCCTCCTTAAAACAAGCTGCGTTTCGGGAGCTTTTTCATTTCCCATTTCTACCCCCACCACGCCAAAAACAAAAACAAAAAAACTCCGCTTTCCCTCTCAGTAGCCGGTGTAATTTAGAAGTCAAACGAGATGATGCATATTATCAATAATAATGATTTGTCATTTAAGCTATTTATTAAAAGCCAGAAATATTTGGCTTATCTTCCGCAGCTGTGTGGCGCGTCGGGAGGCGCGCAGGACGGAGTTCAACCCAGGTCAGTAGGTTTTGCAGCCAGGCCGAGGGGGGCACTTTGCATTCCCTTCCCGATCCCCACAGTTTGGCAATGTTAGCCTTTGGACTTGCGAGGTGCGGTTGTTTTTAGCTTGCAATGGGGGAAAACGTCTCTCGCGGGCTGCATTCCTGCGCCCTCCAGCTGCCGGCGCGTTTTCGACGGCGCGCAAGATTCCGGCTGGCGAGGCGCAAAACCCCGCCGCGTTTTGCAGGGGGCCGGCTGGGCAGCGTTAGTCCTACTAGCCCCGGGGCCGGAGGGGGCGGGCGAGGGGTCCCCGATGGCTCCTGGCGTTCAGGTGACAGGGCCTTCCTTTGGGCACGGACGGTCCTTCCTTGGCGCGTGGTGACAGAATTAAACGACTTCTTTCTAATCCCATTAGCTCCTTCCTCTCGTTTGCTTCCTCCGCTGAGCATTTTTGACAGCCTCTTGCTGCCACCGCTGACACTTGAGGAGCGAGGAAGTTATAATTTCTGACAGAGAAATTACAGCTTCGCGCAGACGGCCTCGACGGCTGGGAATGGAAACGGAGCGAGAGGGAGAAGAAGGAGGGGCGCGCAGCTGGCTGGGTCTGCGCTGGGCGCGCTCGGCCGCCAGAGGGAGCAGGAGGAGCGCGTGACGGGGCTAGGGGACCAAGAGGGCTAAGGCCGAAGGAAGGCAAAGAATTCCGCTAATAAAACGCAGAATTCTGCTTCTGACATATCCAGACACGGCTATAAAAAAAACTATATACAAAGTTGCACCGGCCCCAGGCCGGTCAGCGTGGCCATTGATTAGGGAGGATGGCAACAGGACTGGATAATGGGAGGAGGAATTCCACCAAGTGCTATGTCGTCAGCGCTGGGTGGGAACTGTTTGTTTGTGACTTTAAAGTTAAAGGTAAAGGGTCCAGTCATGGCCGACCCTGGGGTTGCGGCGCTCATCTCACTTTATTGGCTGAGGTCATGTGGCCAGCATGACTAAGCCGCTTCTAGTGAACCAGAGCAGCGCACGGAAACGCCATTTACCTTCCCGCCGGAGCGGTACCTATTTATCTACTTGCACTTTGACGTGCTTTTGAACTGCTAGGTTGGCAGGAGCAGGGACAGAGCAACAGGAGCTCACCCCGTCGCAGGGATTCGAACCGCCAACCTTCTGATCGGCAAGTCCTAGGCTCTGTGGTTTAAGCCACAGCGCCACCCGCGTCCCATAAAGCAACCCAAAGCGACCTACAAACAAACGAACGCATCAATGCATCGAAACCAAGCGGGGCATGCCTTGAAATTTTATTATTTATTAAATTTCTTAGCCGCTTTATCTTATCTTATCTTGCCCAAGGCAATAATAATAATACCCCTCCCCCTTGTATTGTTCTGGGGTTCTCCCGCCCCCCTGCAGCCAATTTCGGGGGGGGGGGCTTGGGGAAGGAGAGGGGGCGCTGCTGCCCCAGCAGGACCCGTTGAGCAGCTCACAGGACTCCTTAGCTGAATCCCACCCTTTACGTGGCTACTCAGAAGTAAGCCCCCCCCCCAGTTCAAGTGTGTGCACGCGCATATTTGTATCCTCAGCAACTCCTAGGCCCAAACTGACTGCCCCCCCTCTCTCCGCCCTCCCCCGACCCATGAGCACAAAAACACATTTCAACAGAGCCAGTACTTTCCCCTGTAGCAGCTCTGAGAGCCAAGGCAGAAAAGAGGGGCTGGTAAATGTTCTTCATCTGCTCATAATACCAGCACCCAAATGTTTTTATTTATTATGTTTCTATACCACCCTTTATCTGAGGATTCCAAGTCCCACAGAAGAAAGAGCTTTAGAGGGATAGATTTGGGCTGGGTTCTTATGATTTGACTTGCTGCACAGTGTCCCCATCTGCTGCTTGGTCCGGGAAAAGGATTCTACCGGGAATTTAAACCTCCTTTCTGGTGTTACCTTAGCTGTGGGCAAGCGCCTGCAACACGTGCAAGCCCCAGAGGATCTGCAACGCCAAGGGGATCCCTGCCAGGCTCCCACCTCCAATCCTAGATCTGCAGTGGCTCCTTTCCTACTAAGGCCCAGATCTCATCAAGATTAGAGGGTTTTGTTGTTGTTGTTTGTTTTTTGCAGTAATGCTACTTATTGGTTGCTCCTGCTTCTGCCCTTTTATTTTAGGATTTTATTTTAGGAATTTCCTCATTTTATTATTCCCCTTCAGTCTTGCGACAGATTTCCATGTGAACCAACTACTATTCACTATTGTTGGGGCTGGTGGCTTTCCACCGCAGAACCGGTTTGCCACTTTCCTCTCACCTGTATTAAACCTTCGACCTCGGATAGGTGGAATGGAATCCTTAGGAAGGAAGAGCTACCTTCTTTTTTACTCCCCAAAACTGACAGAACCATATTTATTTTATATTATTTATTTTAATGCTCGTTTTCAATACACACTTTCCCCAAAACCTTCACTTTTCACTGCAGGGGAGATAAAAGTTTGTTGTTATCCTACATTTCCCTGCACCTTTTGCAGAAGTGTGTGTGTGTGTGTTTTCTCAATGGACCTTTGCAATGCTGTGCAACAGTTATCCGCAACCACACACCCCTAATAGAAAACATTGCCAGTGCCACAGAAAATATAGTTGGTGAGTGCCCATCAAAGTGCAACTGTAAAGTGCGGGAATGTTCAGGGAGGCAAGAGAGAATATATTGTTTAATTATATCCTTCCCAACTTGTGTTAACAAGTTCTACAATTTAGCAGAGTAACAGTCCCCTTTTTAAACTTGTACAGTGGATAACGTCTTGCCAGGCTTGTTTAAGCCTCTAAAATAAGTTTCCTGGTAATTCCCCTTTATTCCGTCTTAAAAAGATTAGACATGACACCTTGTATAAAAGTATAAAAGAGTTTACTCACGCACATTCTGTTCACAGATGGATCCCAGAAGGCAGACTTGGGTTACAAAATATATACACCTGGAATCTATCCCATAAGGAGATAGTTCCTTTTTCCTCTCTTGGCTGGAAGCCTCTCAGACTAAGAAGATGTTGCTTCTTCGAGGAATGGAGTCAGAGAGAGAGTTGGCTGCATCCCCTGTGTTCTATTGTTACCTGCATAGGTGAGGTCATGCCCACCTGGGCAGAGGAGGAAACAGGAAGTTCCGACTGGCTGGTCCAGACCCCCCCCTTTTACTGTATGTCCACTCTAGGAATGTTGTATTTGACTGCTCTGTGTTTCACATCCCACATAACACACCCTTTCAGCTGTACATCTTAACTTGGTAATCTTAGTGTGTTCAGGGTGTTGATGACTTGTGAGAATCAGCTGATACTTCACCACACCTCAACCAGTGTGATGCGTCAGCAAAGGATGTGGAGCCCCAGCAGAGACTTCAGAGATTTCCTGCTCCCGGCAGACTGCTTCTTCCAGAGTCCCCAGTTAAGGGGAAAACTGCTCCCCCACACAGTTCAA